GGTGGTGTGGTGGTGTGTGTAGAGCTTAGAGCTCTGTTGCCTTTTTTTTTTTCTGTGCCGCTCTTTTCAAGATGGGGCCCATGAAATTATCCAACAGGATTATGTAAGGCAGGATAGATTCTGCTGCGTCCTGTCATCCGTTTGTCCATTGTGTGCCCCTGTATTTCAGTTAGCCTGGTGTGTTAGCCATGAAGCTACTTAACACACTGTGTTATTGCATGTCCTCTTTCCTCTTACTTAATACATGTCTATATTCAGCTTTTCGGGAATATGCATAGAGGAGGATCGAACCCACATTTAGCCTGTGTTTAAATGGTCATACATTTTCAATTACAGGACTTAATTAACCTGTTATCCCTTTTGAACTCACAGTTATTGTTTGTGGACTGAAGTATCCATGCTATCAAAAGCTGAAAGGCAGATTCACCGTCTCTCAGCCAGATTTGTTCGGACAGAGGTCAGGGTTTGTTCATGAGCATTTATGCCTTTACCATGTCCATGGCAGTGGAGCTGGCATGCGAGAGCTTGTCTCTTCAAACCCTTGCTGTTCCTGCTGAGGTCACAGGGTGACCTTGGAGCTGTGGAAGCCATGTTTACCAGAGACCCCTGTGTTCAGGCTGTGGCTCGGTTGCTGCTTCCTTTCAACCACATGGTAAAAGCCAGCAAGGAGCAAGTCTCCTGATTTAGTTTGGAAAATTGCTTTAAGAGAGATGCAAACATGTTGCAAGACTTACACTGACTAAGGAAACAGAAGCAACCCTTGCTGTATATATAAGTATCAGTGTATTAGTCATTTTGCTGCAATTTCATATATTGTCCTGTGTTCATTTCCACTTATTATAGCATTGTTGAAGCTTTTCAAAGCAGCTTATGTTATTTATATCCACTCAAAAACTGACAAAACTGTTATTTAACAAAATAAAATGTTCCCATTGATTAAAAAATGTATTATTAACTTGGCTTATCCTCCAGCACTGATGGTAGTGCAAAGACATAAAAACCCACAAACTATTATAATGATAAATGCTTAAGTTTTACATCTCTTGAGCAAACAGCTAGACTTGTATCAATCCAGCAATAATTAAGCGAATAAACTAGAGTTTGTGTTGGTATGACTTTCTTAAACGTGCATGATTTGTTTTGAATATAAGCTATCATATCTACACTGAGGATATAGATTAGCATATTTACAGCACATACCGCCTAGAAACTCTCTCTTGTCTTTCACTGTGCGCTGCTCTGTGTATGTGTGTGGAAGTGAGTATATAAGTATAAGTGTGTGTGTGTGTGTGTGTGTGTGTGTGTGTGTGTGTGTGTGTGTGTGTGTGTGTGTGTGTGTGTGTGTGTGTGTGTGTGTGTGTGTGTGTGTGTGTGAGGAGTATTTGTGTGTGTGTGTGTGTGTGTGTGTGTGTGTGTGTGTGTGTGTGTGTGCGTGCGTGCACAGACTCGCAGCAGCCACCCCTTGCCCCCACCCCTCTCATTAATATGTATGTGTTCTGAGGCAGCTAGCGAAGACGGTGTGTTTCTCACCCGCTGATTAATGCTGTCTGTCAATTACCTCTAGATCCAACCGTGCTGTGGAGCTTCCCCCAGGACCACACCGACCAGGTTGGAACACACTCTGCTTTCTCATTCTTTTCTCCCTCTCTCTCCCTCTCTCTCTCTCACTCCTTCACTGTTACAGACAACCTTTACCTCCTCCTCATCCTCCTCTTCCTCTCCCATCTCCCTTCCTTGCCTAATGCCCTCACTCACCCTGCCATGCTGTGGTAGCCGCCCCCCCCAACACCTATCACCACCACCACTGCTCTCCTCCTCATCCCCATCAGTGCTTCCTCCTCTTCTTCTCTCTCTCATTGTACGTCTGTTGCTGGTAATGAAAAGCAGTGAGCAGGTCTTCAATAACCGACGAATCAGTAATTATCATTCAACCGTGACAGGAATGCACACCTCTGTTTCCCCCGCTTTCTCTCTCTCTGTCTGTATCTCTTGCTTTCTCTCAGTGTGCTACTTCCTATTGTTTCACATTTAAAGCATTATCGGGTTCATTTTGAATCTGAAAGAGAAAATCTGCAGCTGTTTTGCAATAGTTTTTGGAACACCATGCTCTTCCTTAAACCAGTCAGGGGTTTATATTTGAAGGTAAGGCATGCCAATCTCCCACTGTGTTGAAGAATCACATTTTAAAGAGGACGCCATTATGAAGAATTACCTGAGTCTTATTTTTGTATCTTTGCTGATCATTTCTTCTGATAATAATCGCATTGTATACTTATTGAAGAAGAAGTGGAGGTCTTAATAACATTGCAACATTAAAATCCAATGATCAAGAATCACAAGCTACTGACAATCACACATTGTAAGCACATCAAACTAGATAAAAAAACTTTATTTTGACAGAAAACTGACCCAAAAGTAACTATATTCTATTACTGTATGTGTGCACATAACAGTAAGTACAGTATACGTCTAACAACCTGCAACTGAAACATACAACTTACATACTAGGTTATATTAAGGGACTACCTTTTTTTCTGGAAGGATGCACGGATTGGTTGATGGAAGAATGGACATTATTACAATGAAATAAAAAGTTAGGTTGGTGAATCCCTATTTTATTTTTTGAGGGTTTGTTTATGCTAAATGAATATTTATTTCCCCATATGAGTTCTTATTTCTTAAATTAACTTCATTTAAGTTGATAAGTGTAATTGTTATTATTGTAAGCTTTAGAAATAATGGCCAAAGACCCAAGTTGTCATAAACCCAGATTATTTTTTTGAGCCAATCACAAAAGTGTACTGGCTGTCTCAGGGGGGCAATGTGAACACACAGAAGCAAAAACCTCTTGGAGTAATTAAAAATGATTTGATATTCCTTTCATTCTTAAAGCCTTGCTCTTACCCTTAGAAAATTACTCCTACTCAGTAGGGTGTCTTTGTTATGTCTCTCTGGCTTCACCTTCAAATAACTACAGTCTAAAATCCAACTTGATCAAAACAATCACGCAGCCTGTAATAATATGCGTATTAATCTCTATGTTGTGCACATCACTCTGTAATAGATTACTCATTATCTGGGCAGCATGACTCCTGCGCTCTGCTGCTGTGGCTTCTCAGGCAGTGTGTGTGTGGTATTTTGATTCTGTTAGTTAGTCTAAGAATGACGGAAAACAGAGATTTGACAGAGAGACTTGTTTGTGTAACTTGCTGCTGTTAAATACCATCAAACTATGTGCTATATGTGCAATATATACATTATTATATACATATGCCATTAATAACTGTGTAATATATACCTGGCTGCTAAATCCTAAGAACTGTTACAGGATTTGGATTTTGAAAAGTATTTTCTTTTACTTTTCTTTTTTTATTATATTTTTTATTATATCATAACTTAGTACTTTTTTTTAACATATGTAACACTAAGCTGTCTGTGGCTCTTTCCTGCTGTAACGATGCAAATGTCCCCTCTGGGACTAATAAAGGTATTCTGATTCTGAGACACAAGTTGGCAACATCACTGGACAGATGACTGCAGCAGCTCGTCGGAAGCTGAAGGAAAACATTGTCGACTAAGAAAAAATAGAGAAAAGAAAACAATATTTGCGTAGGCTCTCAACACCGCAGCCAAGCCAGTGAGTTTAAACCGCTCTCCTGCCCCTCTGATCCACTTTAAGGGATAAACGGGCTTGTCGAAAGATGCTTCAGGCGATGTCTGCCTGCCCCACTAGAACCAGAGCATGCAATCAGAGTAAGAAGTAGAGAGGTTAGCAAGAGATTACAGTCTTGCAGAGGTTGGCACAGGAAGTGGAAGTCATAGAAAAGGAGTAAAAAAACAGCGGCTGAACCCAAGAGAGATGAAATAGTGTAAACAGTGTATGCGTCGTCATGAGTCTGCCTCATCCTTCCTCTCCGAGATGTCTCACTTGCTTTTCTTTCATTCTGTTGTCCACCAGATCGTTTGTGTGGATAAGATGGCCCTTAAGATGGCTAGTTAGCGTGCTGTGTACAGAGGGATTGGCCCTTTCCCCCGTATACATAACGGCTGTATTCACGGGCCTCATTACCAGGATTAGGGCTCCTTTCCTCCTTTGTGGGGCTGAAGGCAGGAGTCCTCTGTAGCCACAGTCTCTCTCTTTCTGTGGCCCGAGCTGGCCAGCATATGGCAGCAGCAGCCATCAGTCTCCACAGAGGGGCTCAGAGCTCAGAGCAAGGCCTCCTTTTGTTTAGACCGTTATTGTTGCTCTGCGTAATGACATTTGTAGGCCGTAGGATCGGGGTGGAGGGGTTAGTGTACCCCAGGGGAGAGAGAGGGAGACAGAAAAGAGGAAGCGAGGGAGGGGGGAGAGGCAAAGACATGCAGACAGACAGGAGTGTGGATTATGGAAATATGAATTGATTTAGTTTCTGTTCTGTGGTAGAATAGAAAGCTCAAAGGAGAACAGACTGCAGGCTGGCTGGCACGCCGGGGTGGTGCTGGGGAAATATGAAGTGAGAGGCGCTTGCTCCCTCTTTTTCTTTCTCTCCCCTTTCTTTTTCCCCTCCTGCTCCCCCTATCCCTTCCTCAGCCCCTGAGACTCTTGATGCCCTGGTCATCCACAGATGCCACTTGGATAGAGAGGGAGAGAAGGAGGAGAGAGAGAGGGAGGGCAAGAGAGAGGTGGCTAAAGCATATATTTGAATCGCAAGAAGGGCTTTTTTTTTTGTGCAAATGAAGCAGACAGATGGAAATCTGTCCGTTTCCTCTCAGATCTCATCCCAAAGTTGTGGAAAAAACACAGCAGACAACACACACACGAACGCACAGACACACACACAATTCAGAATATGGTTCTGCTAGTTAGTTAACCACAGTTTGGTGAAAAGAGGGCCCACTCCTCTGTAGAGAACAGAGGATGATAAACACTCGGCAAGTTCCACAAACAGACGGCCATTTGAAAAGCAACTCTGCAGTATGTAAAAATGTGAAGTTCCTCACTCAGATACACCCCGCAGAGATTTGCTGTACTTTCTTTGCCTAACACTGCAGGCACATTTTTAAGATTGACAGGCTAAACCCTACCAATGTATGCATGTGTTATGTTTGCTTTGGGCTGTTGTGATGTAAGTCCCGTGCATTTAACTCTCCCTATAGGCCCACAATGGAATCAATGGGTTTAATAAACAAACTAAGGTGTTTAATGGGAATCATCGGACCTTAAAGAGCCTGTGACACGAACCCAACAACTGTTGTGCAATGAAATAGTGGGCTACTAGTAATCTCGAACCGTCAGTTTAAAAAAGAAAAAGCGATACCGTTCCGATAAATATCAATAATTTTGAACATCGCGGGAAAATTCATTCGACTCATTTTGAGGTTTTGGGGGAAGCCGGAAGTGACGTCAATGCGGGAACGCTTCACTGTGCGGCGAGAGAGCCAAACACGGACAAAGTGTGTTGTCATGCGTAGAAATGGTGAATTACTGAGTTTAGGCACGTTAATAACGTTTTAATGAAGTTGACTACAGTATACCGGTATTCATATTTGTCAGTGCTTTCATGTCAATTCGGCGAACATAAACATAAATGATCGTGGTGAAGATGATGATTAAATTAGGATTACAAATCGGTAGTGAGAGCTGCTGAATTTCCTCCCGTCGGATGTGATATAAAAACAAATCGATTATTTTAGTTGTAAACTCAAGTGGATGAAACTACATTTATTAGTGCTTTCATGTCAATTCGGCGAACATATGATACATTAAATGATCGTGAGGATGATGATTTAAAAATCTTTTGTTTGAGCCGGTCTGCATTTCCTGATGAGAAAACAAACCTTAGCTTTTTGTAGTTGCAGTCAGTGGTGTAGTGGGCGTTGGACGCGGGGGTACGCCGTACCCCCACTTATTTGAAGCATGATTTCTTTTTTTAATAGTCTAATACATCTAAAATCATTGCCAGTGTTATCAGTTGCAAGTGTGTGTTTGTTGTAATAATGACGAAAACATAATAGGCAGATTTCACAGTAATTATAATAAAAACGTAGCTCAAGCATTTATGCAACTTGATTTGAAGCGTGTGTGTGTGAGGGGCAGAACTGTGTGTGTAGGGTGACCAGGTGTCCCGCACTGTGCGGGACTGCACACACAGCATTTTTATTATTTGTCCCGCGTCCCACACATTGAGACTATGTCCCGCATTTGAGTGATAGTCGCGCAGAAAGGCCGGATCGGTTCGCTGACAGCCGGCACCGCCCTTTATTATTATATTGTCTAAACGGCATCATGTAAGTTGCGCTGACAGGCGACACAGAGGTCCCCAAGCCCCCCCCCGTTGGCAGTTCACGAGCGCGTCCATAGTGTCTCCCGTCCACCCACCACCCCGTCCACCCAGTAAAAACATCCCCACTACACCACTGGTTGTAGTAGTACACCAACATGGATTAAACGTGTGTTTTTTTTTACCACAATGTTGGCGAAATTAATGGATAAAATGCACGGATTATTATTATTATTATTCCCACTCCGATCGGGACACTAGGTCCACCGTTTCCCCGCAGCGAGGCTCCCCCCGTTGACAGTCTACGTGGGCTGGGCTGGGTGCAGTGGCGGACTGGCCATCGGGACG